TGTCGTGTCCAAGTCCGACCTGAGCCCAAAAATAAGTTCTAAATATTTGTCAGAGTCAGGATCCGATGGTCCCATCAGACTGTAACTAGCAGCTTAGCAGCTTTTACACAAAATAAGACTTCATGAAGATACAGGGAGATTTTGTTTTAAACGAGGACAGTCACACTCGGACGAGTTACACTGACTGAATTAGTGATTTGGATTCAGTTAGAATTCTTTGTGATGTGTGTGTTTTTGTATCAGACCCGTGCTCCATCTGCGGGGTTTCTCCGGTGCATGCGCTCTGCTCCTCCTGTCATCAGAAACTCTGTCAGAACTGTGACCGTCTGTTCCACTCACACCCAGAGCGAGTGGGACACAGCCGAACGCTTCTGTCTGCAGCCAAATCCCACAGGTACAAACAAAACACACACACGATCTGCACAAACAAAACACACACACACTCTGCAGAATCTAAACACATACACACTTTGTACACAAACTAAACACGCTCAAAACCACATGTGCAGAAAGAGACACACTGGTCACGCTTCTCTTCATGTAGTTTTAGAGTTATGAGAAGTGAGTCTTAATGTCGTCTTCTGTTGCACTGAACATGAATTGGTTCATAGTTAAACAGTTCATTATTATGTGTGTGAATTATTCTGTGTGTGTGTATTGTGTGTACATATGACTGTGTGTCGTGTCTCGTCAGAGCGTCCCTCTCGTCGTGGGAGTGCGGTCACTGTACCACAGTGAATGAGGTCAGGGCCGTTCTGTGCTCCACCTGTGACCGGCCCCGCCTCTCCACAGGCCCCGCCCCCAACCCGGAGCCCTCACCCACCACACCCCAGTCTCCCAACGCAGGTCTGGAAACTCTCACTTTAAAGAAGCTCTATGGAAGGCTCGGATTTAAATTTCATTAACTTGAGTTTATAGTTGTAGTAACTTTTTTAATACTGTAAGAACTCGTGAACAAACTGAGAAAAACGGATAACGACCGTTTCCCGTTTACGTGACTTAAACCACAATGCCGGACTTTTGCGCCGCATACGGACTGAACCAGGTCCGGGACCAGACTAGAGCCAGGCCTGGACTGAGGCCGGGGCCGAGATGGGACTGAGACCGGGACCGAGACCGGGACCGAGACCAGGATTGAGACCAGGATTGAGACCGGGAACAGGACCAGGACTGAGACTGGAACTGAGACCGGGACAGAGGCTGGGACCAGACCAGGACCAGACCGTGATTGAGACTGGGACTGAGACCGGGACCAGACCAGGACGGAAAATGGTTTAGTCCTGGTTTACTCCTGTTTTAGTCCTGGTTCAGTCCTGCTTCAGTCCTGGTTCAGTTCAGTCCTGATTCAGTTCGGCATCGCAGTTTAAATCACGTAAACAGGAAACGTCCGTTATCCGTTTTTTCCATTTTTCATTTAAACACGAAATCGAAAACTGAAAAAATGAATCATTATTTGTTTGTTTTTTTGGTTTTTGGAAACAAATAATGAAGTTTTCTTATTTTTGGTTTTATTTTGAAAAACAAAAGACACACAGATTGCATTAGAACAGCTTTAATGTCTCGTGTCACAGTTAACAGCATAATCACATGTGAAGTGAGTTTAACGTTCTCCCTCTGTTGTCTCGTAGCGTGGCAGTGTAAGAGCTGCACGATGGTGAACCAGGGCAGCAGCGTGCTCTGTGAGGTGTGTGAGCGCCCCCGTCTGGCCACGCGACCTCCTGCAGCTCCGGTCAAAGCCCCCACCAGCCCCGAGTCTCTGGCCCTGCCCGTTTCCAAGGTCTGAGTCTGAACTGTTCACAAGTACGAATGAATGTCGAGATCAGTGGTCCTCAAAGTTTTGCCACGAGGAAAATATTTGGCCTTCCAAGTCCCACCAGATATACACCTGGACTAAAACAGGATGATATCAGGTCTAAATTAAGATTGAAACTAGTGTAAAATTTGACAAATAAAACACCAAAGTTCTTGTAGAGGTTTACAAAAAGTGAAAATAATGCATAGCACACTCAGATGGCCGATGTCTAAAAGCTTTATTTATTTATTTATTTATTTTATTTATTAATTGCTCATACTATTATTTTGTTGGCATCAATTTAAAGAGAAAAACAAAACAAAAAAATCTGAATATTAACATAAATACATATTTCTATGATTATTTGCTTCATCTTTACTGCATGAACAAAAGGAACAGGAAGAAAATAAATCTTATAAACCCTGCTCCTTTTACAGATCCAAAAAATGTAACATTTCTCACATCGTCCATCGTTATTTTATCTTTGTACAGTTTCTTAAATTTAGAAAAACTAGTGCATCTTTTTAAATCATGATTTAACAAGTTTCATGTCTTGACTCCGTACGCAGAAACACATTTTTGTTTTAATGTCGTCCTTGAGAATACAGTTTGGAAAAAATCTTGTCTTCTATAGTCATATTTTTTATTTTTAAATAATGTTTACTTTACTATACTGTGGTCCGAAGCAAGAAAAATGATCCAATGGAGGCTTTTTTTTTGCCATAACTTTGCTCAAAAAAACAAAAAAAACCCTTTTGAACATCGGCCATGTGTGCTGTGCATTTTTTCACTTTTGTAAAATTGGACAAAACCATGATTAAACTAAAAAAGGATTAACAAAAATGAAAATACATCATTGTTAAATTTCACATGTACTACAACTGCAGAGGACCCCTAGTAACACCAGAAGAAGTCCTGGTACCACAGTTTTATATGGTCTTTTTAAAGCGGAATACATTTTTATTCAGAATTAAATTATTTTTATTCGGAATTGTAAACGTGGCAACTGAGGAACATCACAGACGAACATGAGGAATAACTTTGGACCATTGCAGACCGTTTAAAATGAACTATTTTTATGTTTTTAAGACAGTAAAAATCAGGTTCAGCTTTAAGGACAGATGATTCTTTTGTATTAAATAAATGTTGTGTTTTGTTGTTGTTTTTACAGTGGACCTGCCAGTTCTGCACCTTCGTCAACACCAAACCCACCCCCATCTGTGAAATGTGCAGCCTCTCGTGTAAAGACGCGGGGGGTTCTGTTTCTCTGCCCGCCGCTCTGCAAACCGCCCCGGCTCAAGCCCCGGCTCCAGCTCAGGAGGGTAAAGCTCCTCCTCCCATCGCCCCAAAACCAGCGCTCGGCCCGGGCACGGACAACCAGAGACAGAAGGCCCTGCTGCAGGACGGACTCAACCTCATCAACCACATCAGGGTCAGTGCAGATTAGGGACTGGAGTTATCGGTGGGAGGAATCGATTAGGGATGCACTGAATATTTGACATCCGAATATATACGGCCAAATATTGCAAAAAAAAGCCACATTCGGTTTTCTGTGGGGTGGGGGGTTAAGTCAGGCCAAATAGTGGCGCATGACACAATGATGTGGTGATCTGGCGCCTTCTTCAGAATGTTGGCTGTGTGGAAATATAAGAGTGCACTAGAATCATGCTGTGTTCAAGCTCGATTGCTGTGGGTTCAATGTTTTGCTCTCACACCTGCACAAACCGAACCGAAGCCACGGCCGATGACGTCATCACACGACGCTGTTTGTTTACATGAGGCAGCAGAGCGAGCGCTTTAGAGGAGGAAATAAGTCCAGCGGCAGAAATGTCTATTAAACAGTGAGACAGATATGAGTCCTCTTACGATACGTGCTCCTCCGTGAGTTTATGGAGATAAAAACAGCGCGGAGCAGTGATGACAGACGCAGACGAGAGGCAGATAAACCTCTGTCTGTCACAGTCCTGTCACGGATTCGCTGTATGTTTCGGAGTGGAGATTATTCATTGTTTTCTTCATATGAGTAACATCAGCACACACACACGCACAGACACACTCAGGGCTTGTATAGTGGTCGTGTGTGTGCCCATACATGAGCTCCGTGCTGTGCTTTGGCCCACCTCCTCCAACCGGGCCAAAGTCACGACATGCCAGTGGTTACCAGGACACACTTATTGATATTTAAAAAAGGTTTCAAAAGAAGCGCTTGCTGGACCTTCAGAGGATAATACACAGTAGAGTGGGCTGAGGTAGAGCAGCCTCACACTCACCTTGTCTTCTTCCTCCTTCTCCGACACTCTTCACTTCTCCTCCTCAGCCGACAGACGTAAAGTGTGATGAGACAATTCTCCAGCTGCTGCTCAATTTTCACCAGAACCACTGCGGAAAAAGTTTGGATCATGTTTGTGTCCGTGGAGTAACGACAAACCGAGACGACAGAAAAGCCGGGAGCAGCTGAAGTGTGTGTTTTCTTCCCAAAGACATAACGACCCTTTCCCACCCCCGACGCTGAGCCCAATTGAATAAAGACGATTTAATGAGTTTTCCGTGTAAACCTCAGTTCAGAATTATTATTTCCATGTAAACTCGAAGAAGAATATTTTAATTCCGAACTATTTAATTCAGAACAATTGATTCTGAATTTAAAAACATGAGTGAAATGCCATACTGGCCACGTTTACATGAAGTCTCACCTGTAGTTTGATAGAACACTAGAGAATATTACAACAGGAAAGTTCCGTAGTGCGTCTTTAGATTGTCCGTACATATTAAACGTATTTGTGATGATCTTTTGCAGGAGGGGGAGAAGCGCGGCGTGAGTCCAGAGGAGATCTACGCCGCTCTGAAGCTGTGCGGCGGGAGCAACGTAAACCCCTGTGATTGGCTGAACTCGGAGCTGCCCCACCTCCTGGACGAGATCTGCGCCATGGCGGCCTCCGTCCAGCTCACCTCCGCGAAGGATCATGGGATACCCGGAACCGCGGGGGACGGGGAGGCGGCGGCGTCGGCGGTGAAACTGTCCCGAGCGGAGGCCAAACACGCGTGGCTGTCCACAGGGGGCGACACTGAGGCGGCCGTGAGGCAACTGCTGCAGGATCGACAGAACAAGGTCAGAATCTCACTGTGGAGACAGAAATACTGAACTGGACACAGGTTTAGGTTCATTCTGCATCTTCAGATATTCACAGGCTCTACGCTTAAAGCTGCACTGTGGAACTTTTTGGTGGGGATCTGTCACCTGATTGTTTCTATGGAGATGTCTCAGTGTGAAATTAAACAGCTCTACTTTATATTTATTCAATTACAGGTGGTTTTATAGAAAATACCTAGAAAAACAGACATTCTGACTGTGAGCGGAGTCGCCTCTCCACAGATCTCACCTGTAACTTGGTGTGGTTTGTCTCCATGGAGATAGAAAGGTTTAATTTAAATTAGGAGTGGGACATTAACACGTTAATTGCGATTAATTAATTACAAGGAAAATTATGCATCAAAAATATTAATGTATTTTATGGCAGTTTGTCAAACAACACGAAACGTTTGTCAGTGCAGTGACAGGGCAGGACAATTATACTGACGCACACAGTTCTGACAACAACAGTGGAGCAGGAAAGACTCTGGGTTTGCTGGATGGAAAATGTCTATTTAAAAAACGACCCGATGGAAGTATTAACAAAGGCGTCGTTTATTACAAACCGTGCCTCAACCCGAGCCAGATTATCGCCACCTAGTGCCTCCACTGAATTTCATTTTTTTTCCAGAGACTAGGTCAGGAATCAGAATACACTAGACGGTTCACAAGAATCCCAGAAATTATAGACCGAGCACCGGCCAATCAACTGTGAGCTGTGAAGCCATGACGTCAAACTCGTGTTGTCTGTCTGTGTCCCTTTTGTGGAACAGCACAACAGTAAACAAAGCGTCGAGATGGATGTAGACGAAGACAGACGTTCTGTGTTGGCAACGATTCCCCAGATCCCCGAGGATTTAAAGTCAGAACAAAGAGAATGTTTGGTGAATTTTATCAAGGGGAAAGACGTTATTTTCCTTCTTCCTACGGGATTCGGTGCATTACATACGTCACGACCAAACAGCAGCGACTGGTTAAATTAAAAAAAGTACCTGCCTACCGTCGAGTGAACGAATCCTAATGAAACTGACTGATGAATCCGGTTTCCTCAACCCTACGAGACCATTTAAATACAAAACTTGTGACAGTGAGAACAGAACCTGCTGGAGCTGTTGGCGGGAGCAGTTTTCCTCAAAGTACAAACACAAGGTGTCAGCTGATTACATGAGTACATGAGTAAGGCAAATATTGTTATGCGATTAATGGAGATTAATTAATTACAAAGCCTGTTCATTCGATTATAATTTTTTTATCAAGTCCTACGTCTAATTTAAAACAATGACATCTCCATGGAGGAAAGCATCCACCAGAAAAGTTACACAGTGCACCTTTAATGATTCCTTCCTGATTTGAAAGATTTGGCAGAGAAAAGATCCTCCATCGCCAAAGAAGTATTTACGCTCACCAAAATATCAAAAGTATGTATTTTTGATTTTGGAGAGGTCCCTCACGAAATAACACAAATCATGACTTTGCTTGAAACATCTGAGTCAATTCCCTGTTGATGTTGAGCCCCACGATTCACCCGAGATTCAGCATCTAACGAGTAATAATTAGTAAGTAAGATTTTCTGAAAACTCAAGAAAAAATACAACTCTGGTAATCTGGTGACTGTAATTTTATGTGTGAAAGACTCTCACCTTTTTGTTCAAAATCAAACACCTAAATACCTCCTGAAAATTACTTGTTTAAATCCATTTTGTTTTTTTTCTTGAGTTTTCAGACCACTTTAAAATGTTTTGTCTGTGTTTGTTGACTTGAACTTTGCGTCGCCACAGTAACTGCACCATCAGTGCGACGTCACCGTTAAGTGTCCATAAATGCCCCATTATTTAATTGTATTACTCTTCTAAACTGATAACACTGACCCCTTATCCGGACCTATTTTACTGTTTTGGACGCCCTAAGTCAATATTTCACAACTTAAGACCTTTGAGAGGAGGAGGGAGGAGGAGGGAATTATGCGTGTTATACAAACCGAGATACTGTAGGAGATTGTGGCACAATATTACCTGCTTGGACGAGGTTGTAAAGGATTGAGAGTTAATATACATATATCAGATGAAGCTTTAAATGAACGGCTGCAGGAGCAAATTTGGAACCAGGCTCTTTATTTTGAATAGGATTTTTATGACGGACAAAATAGCAAAAAAGAAAACAGGATCATTAATACGAACATTTTAAGACCAAAATGACGAGGCTCACAGCGGCAGGTACAGAGAGAGGAGCCACAATATTCTAATGTAGGTCAATGGGAGCCAGAGTCAGAGAGTCAGAAGGAGGCAGAAGAGCCACATGTAAACTTCATGTTTGGAACCAAGCCCCGGGGTTTTAAAATCATTCAAGTCAAAGGGCCGAGCTCAATGTCTCATGATTCCAGATTTGCCTTTAGCCCGGCGAGGTTCTTCCGGTGGCTGTGGGGCCGACCGAGCATGTGCAGTAGTGTCTTTTTCCCTGCGGGCACACGTGAACGCACGGAGCTGTCTCATGTATCACATAATTGCTTTGACCAATCAGAGCTAGAGGAGCAGAGTGGAGATTATAAAGCGTTTTTTTTTTTTAGACAACTGAAGGATTTTGAGCTTAGAAAAAGTTTATGATCTGAAAAAATAGGTAAAAATCTCCACAAAATCCGACATTTTTGAAAGTTGTAGGTCCCTGTCAGACAAACACGAGACGCTTGTGATTACATTGCCTCTGTGAGAAAAATCCTCTCTCAGCCCAGGGGATTTTTTCGGTTGAAGATCCAGTGAGAGTCATTACGAAAACTAGAGGCAGCTACAAACAACAACACCCTCCAGTTATTTTAATAGATCCATGTTTGGACGTTATTTATGTCCATTTATGCAGTCTATGATATCATTTCAGGAATTAAAAACAGAAATCAGTTTGTGTTAAAATAAAGATCAGATTCTAACTTGTTTATCTGGAGTAACAAAGCTCCAGTTTGCCTCTCCCCTCTTGAAAGTCTCTGACATGGTGTGAAGAGCTGTGTTCTTGTTTTCAGATGAGGGAGCTTCGGTCTATGGGTTTCAGAGACGTGCGTAAGTGCGAGGAGGCGCTGCGTCTGAGTGGAGGAGAGCTGAGGGGAGCTCTGTCTCTGCTGCAGCGCCCCCTCCTGGAGCCGTACCACCAGCGCATCTGGACCCAGAGCGAGCCGCCCATCGACCCCAAGGACCCAGACAAACAGGTGAGCACCGGGACGTTCGAATCCAGAAGGTCCTGAACTGGAACATAGAGTTTAGATCCAACCACAGCTGCTAATTTATCTCACACGTCTCTAAAATGTGGAAACCATCTCCTCAAATTCTTGTAACATTCAGAACAAAATATATAACTTTTACCTTTTACCTGAAATAAGTACCGTATTTTCTGGACTATAAGTCGCTCCGGAGTATAAGTTGCAGCCAAAAAATGTGTAATGAAGAAGAAAAAAAACATATATAAGTTGCACTTTTTGGCAGATATTTTGTGTGTAAAGTGAAGTTGTAGTAAAAAACAACAGAAGAGAGAACAAACTGTTAACGTCACATATGAATGTGTATATTCGTTCATTTGTTTTTCAATATAAAACCAAAAATAAGAAAACGAAAAAAAACAGTTTTCTTCATTATTGTCTCCAAAACCAAAATGAAAAAAACGGATAACGATTCGTTTTTTCAGTTTTCGATTTTGTGTTTAAATGAAGAATGGAAAAAACGGATAACGGCCGTTTCCCGTTCAAAACTTCCGTGACTGCGATGCCGAACTTTTGACCGCGTACGGACTGAACCGGACTGAGACCGAGACCAGAGCGGGACTGAGACCGAGACCAGACCGGGACCAGAGCTTTGACTCCGAGCCTCCACGGGGTCCAAGCCTCAGCTTTGAGCTCCGGCCCTGCAGTGGGCTCTGAGCCTCCGTCTGGTCCCGGTCTGGTCCTGGTCTTGTCTGGTCTCAGGCCCGCTCTGGTCCCAGTCCCAGTCTCAGTAGCGCTCTGGTCCCGGTCTGGTGACCTGTCCATTTGAACCAAAGCTCTTAGTTGATTCATTTTCGTTGGTGTGAATGCGTTAGTCGGAGCTTTGCACCACCTTGGAAAGCCGCGTTCTTGAGCGCGGAGGACCAGAAGCTCTGTAGAACTGATTCAGAACACAGGAGACTGAAAGACTAACGAGACACATTGAACGAATGATACACAGATTCATATGAACAGTTCTTGAGATAAAGTATAACATAAACAACAGAACAGAACAAGTTTAACAAACTCTCCATCTCACTCCAAATCACTAAATCCATTCAATTCTTCATCCTCGGTGTCACTTCTGAACAACTCGGCCTCGACCTCCAAATGTAAACGGAGCGCCGCTGCTGTCGGTAAATTGTGTAAAATCTTAATCACTGTTTACAGTTTAGAGACGTCATTGCCACTTATAGTTTTAATAAAGCACAGTGTGTAACTTTCTGGAGGTGGCATGTCCAGATTTCTGAATATTCTCCATGGAGGTTTTATGCCAAGAACATTTCTATAAAAACAAGGAGAAGGTCAGAGGTTTGTGGTGGTGCGAGCCCGCTCACCGTACAGACTGGGATCTGTCCACACTCACGTCACAAACCCGGAACACGTTTGGAAAAATGCGGATGACGACTTCCTTTACGTTCTGTTGGTGAAAGTAACTCTGACAAAATCTGTTAGAATTATTCGGGTCTTTCTGAATCTCGACAGGATGGTTTTGGTGTCACTAAAGTCCAGACTTTGTCCATCCATCCAGTGATTTCAGGAAAGTTTCATGGTTCATCCTCCCGGTGTCACAAGTTTCTCTCTCACTCCAAACTTTCTTTCTGCTGCTCGATTTCCATTTTCAGCTGCAGATTTCACGACTTGCAGTTTGTAATCTGCAGAATCTGATTTTGTTTTCCAGGGGGCGTTTGTGTTCAGTCTTCTCAGTCGTCTTTGGTGCGATCGACTGACATGATACAGACAGGACAGAGGCTCTTTCTGCAGGAGACATGCGCAGTAGAGCCAAGTGACAGTGGTGCAGGAGGAACAGGAGCAGCAGATCCTCACACACAAGACTAGAACCTCTCCACACTTCACTCAAACATTTTAATATAGAATTCACACTGAAGGAAACACCCAAACCATGAAAAAAGTGACACTTATAGTCCAAAAAATACGGTAGTTTATTTCAGACAACACTGCAGAATCTCTACAGTTTAAAAACAGGTGCAGACAGGTCACAATCCTCAGGTGCAGATTTGTTGACCTGGTTTATAGTTCGTATCTCTGTAGTTACTCCACATGAAAGAAAAAAACTGGCACAAAGTTCATTGTCTTGCTGAACTCTGCCTGAGTTTTGTGACCCGCCTCCAGCTGTGTTTAGACTGTAGAGATTCTGCAGCGTCGTGACGTCGTGTGAACACAAAGAATTATCACCGGTCTGACGAGTTGTGCGAGGTTTGCGTTCATTTTAAAGATTTTTTTTTAAACCAAACAAAGCCTCGTGACCTACTTTTTGGCTGTTCGGTAGTAAAGTCATTAGTGGTTAAAGGTCCAGTGTTACGTAAAACGGACTCTTGTGAGCTTTTCGTCATGTTTGATCTCAAAAACATACACGGAGTTGTGTTTTGTTTCATTCACATATACAGTATTTGAGTAACCTGCGTGGAGTTGGCTCCCATTAAACACAAAACTACACAAAAACTATGTCAATCATTTGTGCTGCTTTAGATTTAGAAATATTTACGACTCTTTTACAGGTCAAATTGGGGTCAGGAAACTTCAAAATGCTCTAAAACGACACAAAACGGGGTCAGTTGTTTGTGCTTCGTTTGTGCTGTTTGGTGCTGCCAAAAGTTTAGTTTGTGCGATTTTGGTTCTATATAGATATTCACAGTTTAGTTTTCGGCCAATGACGTCGTCCAGCCCCTCAAAATGTGAAACAGCCTCAAAACAGACAGAAAATTATATGAAACGTTTGTATTTCGTCTGTGCTGTTTTGTGCTGTGACTGTTTTCATTTGTGCGAGTTTATTTCTAAAATTATGAACAAACGAAAACAGTCACAGCACGAAACAGCACAAATGAAATACAAACGTTTCGCATAATTTTCTGTCTGTTTTGAGGCTGTTTAACATTTTGAGGAGCTGGATGACGTCATCTATCCTCATTCATCAGACGGTTTCTATGAAGTGAAACCTCACAGCATTAGGATTCGTTCGCTCGACAGTAGGCGGGGACTTTTTTAATTTAACCGATCGCTGCTGTTTGGTCGTGACGTATGTAATGCGCCAAATCCTGTAGGAAGAAGAACAATAACGTCTTTCCCCTTGATAAAATTCACCAAACATTCTCTTTGTTCCGGCTTTAAATCCTCGAGCTCGGGAATCGTTGCCAACACAGAATGTCTGTCTTTTCGCTGATTGTCTGGTGCCTGAACTCGCACTTCCGGGGTTCTTGTAAACCATCTAGTGTATTCTGATTCCTGATCTAGTCGCTGGAGAGAAATCAAATTGAGCAGAGGCACTAGGTGGTGGCAGCCTGGTCAGACGTCATCGGCCCAAAATAAAACAGCTAATATCTTAAGAACCATAATTGCACAAACAATTAGCAATTTGACCTATAAAAGAATCATTAATATCTCAAAAACTAAAGCAGCACAAACAAAACTTTGTCAGAATCAGAATTTATTCGTCTTTTCAGAATAAAAAATACACAGAAATGAAATGCTGCACTCAGGTCCAGGTCAACAGCAGGATAGATAATAATAAGAATAAACTGTTAAAATATTGTATGTCAAAAAAACAGCCCCCACCTGCCCCTGTTTTCTAAAGTGCGTTCCAAGTCAGTGCTGTTTTGTAAGGTGCATTAGTGTCTGGGTTTTCTGACAGAATTGATCTGTCTCACGGCATCCGGATAAAAACTGTTCTGTAGTCTGGTGGTCCTGGCCTGTAGGTGGCGCAAGCTTCTGCCTGATGGGAGAGCTGTAAAAAGTCCATGTGCTGGAGGGTGGAGTCAGGGCTTTTGTCCTGCACCTGCTGATGTAAATGTCTTCAATTCAGGGCAGACTACAGCCGCAGATGCGCCCCGCAGCTCTAACTTCCCTCTGCAGAGCTTTCCTCTCTCCCATGGTGCTGCATAAAACAGCACAAACAGTTGACATAGTTTTGTGTAGGTTTGCGCAGGTATTTGACCAAGATTTAATTATTAGTCTGTCTACATCTCCAAAAAGCTCTAAATGCTCTGTTCCAGCTTGTGATTCCAAGTGAACATCTCCTTTTACCTTTAGTTCAGGAGAGATTAGCAGTTCCTGAAATTATCCAAATGATTCTAGGGAAGGTGTGTGGACTTTAGAAACACAGTGGAGCACTTCCTGTACTACCACATGACATCATAGACAAAACAGTTTTAAGATAACCCTAGAGAAAATGCAAAATGGATTAAAGCAGCACATTTTCAGGAGCCTGTGATCAGTCCGGGCGTTCGTGGTCCTGTTTAGGAGTTTGTCATTCTCGCCCTTTTTGCCTCGGTCTTTTCCTGAATCGTGTTTCTCTCTCCCCAGAGGACCTGCCGTCGTCTCCTGGCGCTGTACGATCTGCCCAGCTGGGGGCGCTGCGAGCTGGTGCTGTCTCTGCTGCAGGAGCCGGACGTCAACTACAACCTGGAGGACGTGATTCAGGCGGTGAAAGACTCGCCGGACCGAGAGTTCATCAAACGTCTGCTCCAGAACGAGTGCGGGGTCTGCTACAGCAACTTCCCCCTCAGCAAGGTGCGGGAGGGCATCTGACGCACATCTGACACACGGGGAGGGCATCTGACGCACATCTGACACACGGGGAGGGCATCTGACGCACATCTGACACACGGGGAGGGCATCTGACGCACATCTGACACACGGGGAGGGCATCTGACGCACATCTGACACACGGGGAGGGCATCTGACGCACATCTGACACACGGGGAGGGCATCTGGAGGGCATCTGACGCACATCTGACACACGGGGAGGGCATCTGACATGTTTCTGTGCCGTTTCAGATGCGCTCTCTGACCTCGTGCCAGTGCTCTCTGTGTCTGGAGTGTTTTCAGAAACACTTCACCATCTCAGTGACGGAGAAACACATCAGAGACATGGTGTGTCCAGTGTGTGACGAGCCCGACATCAACGACCCCGACCAGCTCGACAACTACTTCTCCACTCTGGACATACAGGTACCGGCACATCTGCATAAACACTAGAGGTGTAACGTTGCAGAAATCACGGTTCAGTACGTACCTCGGTTTTGAGGTCACGATTCGATTCATTTTCGGTACAGTAAAGGAACAAAATCATTTTCTTGTTGTTTATTTGTGTTTTTATTAAACCAGCAATTTGTTTTAACATTATACAAACAGGAAAATAAAATAAATGCAAAACTATTCTCAAATAAGCAAGAAATGTATGAAAAATATTACAAAAAATAAAAAATAAATTCCTCGTAAACAGTAAACAAAATTTTTTAAAAGTAAAGTGCAGCATTAACAGTTCCAGCATGAACTTTTACTCAATCTTGAGAGATTTTGTGCTGGCGACAGGCGAGAGTGAGGAGAGTGAGGACCGTGGCATGACAACCGTAGTTTTGTGAGTATTCAGGTGGTTCAGATGGATGTAGCCAAGACGGGGGGGGTTGTTGTCAAGGCGGGAGCTGCTCAAACTATAAATCACTGCAGGAAACACTGCCCCAATCACGGACGAATTCCTTGTGAATATTAAAGAGCCGAGCCTCCGTGGAGCTGCACGTGTAGTGGAGGAATTTAAACACACACAAACTGTGCGAATTCACTCGTGCACAGCCCTGCACCGAACCAAACGTCCTGTACAGAAACGATTCAGCACGAAAACATGAACCGTGACACTCCTAATAAACACACCGACAGGTACCAGCACGTCTGTATAAACACTGTTGTAGATTTTCTAATAATAATAAATAATAATGCATCAGTTTTATACAGCGCTTTTTTGGACACTCAAATACACTTTACAGAGCGTTATTCATTCACTCCAGACCAGGTGATAGTAAACTACTATTGTAGCCACAGCTGCCCTGGGGCAGACTGATGGAAACGAGGCTGCCAATCAGCACCGTTGGCCCCTTCAACCACCACCATCACTCACTCACACAACACTTTCATACTAGGCAATGTGTGTGAAGTGTCTTGCCTAAGGACACAACGACTGGTTCCTCCTGTGGCTCCTGATTTTCCCAGTGGAAAGATCTGAGATCTGAGGGGATCAGGCTTTGACAAGTCGGTATGACCACATACTAGACTGAAAACAGTAAAAACTGGAAAAAGTTGTCTCACAAGTTGAATCAGAGAGTCTGATGTATTAAAGTATTGTGCAGACAGTTACAAAGCTGACTCTGTCCCTCACAGTCTCACCCTAATCTAAAGTGGAGTGATGCATACAGGGTTTTTATAAACCACAAGGAGTCATAAACATAGACATAAGATAAACACAGGATGAGGTAATCCTGCAGGATAAGGCCTGATCCATCCTGAGTGAAGACAAACATAAATCTTGATCAACAATCAGCAATAAACATGTCAAAAACCGGTTCTGGAGTGATACAAGTGACAGATTGACAGTAGGAACGACAGGAATGACACAGGTTCTGGTTGACTTCAACCCCAGAGTGACAGACAGAGCAGGTTGTGGGTTAGACTCCCGGTGTGACCGTGGCAGAGTGGTTAGCCTGTCTCCCCTCAAGTGCTCGTTTTGTGTTTTGCAGTTGAGGACCTGTCTGACCACTGAAGTCTACGACCTGTTCCACACAAAGCTGACGGAGCACACGCTGATGAAGGACCCCAAGTTCCTCTGGTGCTGCCATGTAAGTGTTTATCTCACCAAACAAGCAGCATGTGTGTCAGATGCCCTCCCACCCTGCCCCTTTAACCCTCTGTTCCTCCAGTGCACGTCCGGCTTCATCAACGACGTGGATCAGCTCAAAGTCACCTGTCCCTCCTGCCACAAGAGCTTCTGCTGCAAATGCAAGAAACCGGTGAGTGTCCAGACGTCACACTTGAACGTTAATATTCCCCGAGCACAAGAAGCTTCACTTTTGTATGAACACGAGCAGCAGAGGGCGCAAGGAACCACAGTGAGGCAGTTTAAATCAGGTTAAAAAACAATAGGCAAGTTTGAGCTGACGTCATTGTTATTATAAGCCCGCGTTGCTGCTGGGAAATATTTTGGTTGGAGGCAAGAAACACGGTAGCGTCAAACACAGTGCGTAACCTCGTGTATTTCTCCCCGATAATGGTAAATTCCTGCTGCATTATCGGATGCACAAATAGAAGCACGGAAGAAGGAAAATGTCTTTTTCGTATTCCAAGTGAAAATAACCACTAACGGTGAAAAAAGGTTTTCAAACATCCGCAGAGCAAACGTAGAAGATCCTAACAAACCGTGGACTCCAACAAGTTCAACAACACATCGAGACTCTTGGAGGTTTTCATCTTTTCTGCTGTGAATGGCCCAGGAGTTTCCACCAAGTCATAGTGGATATCGCCCAAGTGAATATTTGTCCAGGTAGTTGAAGATTCTGACCAGAAATGTGGTTTGGTCCAGGCTCTGTCGGGGTTGAAAAGGGTGATTTGTCGTCCGTCGATGCTTATGACCAATTTCTGGTCAAATGGTCTTGGGTCCTCTGCCGTTAGAGTGGATAAATAACCGGGATCAATAACCTTTACGTGCTTTCTCGCTCCGTCTGTCATGTTGAATTAGTGTTTCTTGCCGCCGACCAAAATAATTCCCAGCATGCAACACGCGCTTTTGTCAACAATGAAACTCGCTTATAGTTAGTACCAGCTGATGAAGCCTATGAAACATCGACTAAAGCAAAAAAAAAAAACATACAAAAAAAAACATGTGCCCTGACCAGTGTATCATAAAAGTAATAGGTTGCTGTAATGTTTGCTGTAACGCAGTAATGTGGCGTTACAGGGAAAATATTTTAATATTTTACTTGTCATCATGCGCGTCACAATGCTTTTTTAACCTGGATTGAATTGGTGTGTTTTTCGTTTTTCTTCATACAAATTCGCTAAAATCACCGCGATATCAGCTGCAGTGAAACATCATCGTGACGGTTCCGAGTCCGAGAGCATCGGGTGACTGTGGACGAAAGGACCGGTGCTGAACTCCATGTTGCACGAAACTAAACGCAGCCGTCGTCCGATCACGCTTTGAGGACGCTCTGCTCCACAGGCTTGGGGTTCTATCAGGGGCGGTCCAAGTTTTCAAGTCCTAGTCCAAGCTTAGTCTTGGTTTAGACCTGATTTAGACCTGGCAGACAGGGTTTCCGCAAAGCACGATCGGGCGTCAGCTGCGGTTATCCCCGTGGAGCGTGGAGTTCTGCGTTGGTCCTTTCGCTCGCGGTCACCTGACGGTCTACACGGGTGCATCTCCGGCGTTTCACCGCTGCTGATATCGTGGTGATTTTAGCAAATTTGTATGAAGAAAAAAACACCACTTCAATCCAAGTTAAAAATGCATTGTAACGAGCGATACTCACATTTGTACTGAGTAAAATATTAACATTTTTCCCCTGTAACGCCACATTACTGCGTTCCAGCAGAAAGTAACACATTACAGTTCAGTACAGTAATTCATTACTTTTATAATACATTATTCCCAACACTGTATATAAATGAGATATATTTGTATTACTGTATTTTTCGGACTGTAAGTCGCTTCAGCGTATAAGTCGCACCAGCCAAAAAATGCAGAATGAAGAAGAAAAAAAACTAAATATGTCGCACTGGACTGTAAGTTGCATATTTTGAGTTGTATAAGTTGTATTTTATAGAATCAGAGATCAAAAACAGACATTTTCAACAATTTAAACTGTCGACTTTGGCTTGGAAGTCTGTTCGCAGTTTTTGGGACATTGTTGTCTCGCTCTGTCATTTATATTCATCGTCTTGGCAAATACTCAGGCGTGGAGGAGACATAACTGCATCGTTAACAAGCCTCTCCCGGCAGCACGTTGTTCAAGCGCCCCTTTGTGAACTTGTTCCTCTGGCTGTGACCGTCCAGCTTTTAGTCCGTGATTTGCTTTTTTTGTTTTCTTCATTGCAATTCAAGAATCCTCCACTTTTCACCAGTCCCTCACAAGTTTCTCTCTCACTCCAAACTTTCTTTCTGCTGCTCAATTAACATTTTCAGCTGCAGATTTCACGATTTACAGTTTGTAATCTGCAGAATATGATTTTCTTTTTGGGGGCATTTGCGTTCAGTCTTTCTCAGTCGTGTTTATACAGGGTAGCTGCAGGGTCTTAAAGGGTCTTAAGTATCATGTTCCTAAATTAAGGCCTTAAAAAGTCTTAAAATTCTGTTGCCGAAGTCTTATTTTTTTCACAGTGGTCTTAAATTTCATTAGCCTATTTTTTTGTTTACTCAGCCGGGCTGCAGTGTGATGTTAAATGGAGGGAGGGGGAAAAAAAATAACTACATGAAATTACGTAATGTGAATGAACGTCTAATTTTAGTATGTGCAAACAATACTTTGGCTTCTGGCGCAGACGGGAAAGAGTAAACAATGAGTAGAGTGGAGGAAGACGCTGAATGGATCATGGAGAAGTGTCGGTTTAATCCACAGTGGCTTTTAGATTCTGGATAAAGTACCGGTTGTTTGTTGGTCTTCATTAGAATTGGATCTGGTGTTTTTCTCCACATAATGGGTGCGATGTTGGTCTTAATTTTCATGTAAATGGACTTAAAAAGGTCTTAAAAAGTCTTAAATTTGAGGTAGTTAAACCTGGGAGCACCCTTTTTATAAGTTGATGTTTAAATTGCACATTTTCAGTGCAATTTTCAGGTACAGGAGTCACACATGCATCACGAATTTTCGAACTTCCGGTCATCACACAATTCATACTGGGAAGGATTTTCCAAAAAAATGAGCATCAAATCTCCATGTTTGTTTTCCCAGTGGGATGTGTCTGTTGTTAAAGTCGATCTTTTCAAGTCTTTTGAGCCATATCACTTTTGTTTCTGGTTCTGATATTGTCATATTTTAGTCTTGGGATTCAGACATCGTAATTGTGTGGTTGTTGGATCCTAACAGCGGAAAACAACTCGAGAAATGTGTTTGCGAACTCCATAAATGCAAAAGTGAATCAGATGGGTGTGACTCAAACCTCCGTTCAAACTGTTTCTCTTCCCAACGGAATTGAAAAATAGTGAAAGGTGAAGGTGATGGGCAGGATTGATCCACAGGAAGAACCAAAAAGGAAACTTTGTCTGACTAAGAAATCATCCTGAGTTTACAGAGAACATTTTGTATGTGGAGCAACGACAAAACAAAATCCTGATCTCTCGCTCAACCTCAGTTACAAATTTAAAAAGTCAACGCCAAAGTGAAAGGAACCAACTGTTCACCAAGAAACACCTTCCACTGCAAAGAGACCAAGACGTGATGTTTCTGTAAAACCACAAGAACAAGAAAGTGCAGCTCAGTCTGTTTGTCTTCTGCACCTCTCCATTAACAAACGGGATTTTGTTTTTGTCAGGTTTAAGCCCACCTAAACATTGTAAAAATAAGAAGAAAGAAAGACGAGATTAATATCGTTTTCTCATGAGGAGGGCGGACAGAGAGTGCATTTACTGTTACAGTCTCTACCCGCTCTGATGCACTCTCTGCGTCTCCTCTTTTTATTGTCATAAGAGGGTCCCTAGTTACAATGGATGTTTCTCTAAAGGGGAGGGGTTGAAAACAGCGAAAAACTGTAGAAACACCAGACATGATTTCATTGTGCAAATATGTATATCAGCAGCAGGTGTCCGATAAGGTGCAGCATCTTTGTAGCATCTTTAGGAACAGCACTTCCCCTCTTTTCCGCCAGTCTTGAGAGCTGTCCTCTTTCCCAGCAAAGAGCTGAATAAGTCATTGTTTTAGCGGTGTGCAGAGTGGGTGACAGGTCACTGCATAGTTATAAAGCACAAACATTATTCACACAAAAACAATAACATAGAAAATATGGGATAACATATACAATAATTCTAACAGTTTTGTTGTCGCTCCACATAAAAAATGTTCTCTACAAACTCGGGATGATTTCTTAGTCAGACAAATGTTTCCTTTTTGGTTCTTCCTGTGGATCAATCCTGCCCATCGCCTTCACCTTTCACTATTTTTCAAATCCGTTGGGAAGAGAAACAGTTTGAATGGAGGTTTGAGTCACACACATCTGATTCACTTTTGCATTTATAAAGTTCACAAACAAATTTCTCGATCCGTTTTCTGCTGTTAGGATCCAACAACCACACAATTACGATGTCCGAATCCCAAAACTAAAATATGACAATATCAGAACCAGAAACAAAAGTGATATGGTTCAAAAGACTTGAAAAGATCGACTTTGACAATAGACACATCCCACTGGGAAAACAAACATGGAGGTTTGTTACTCACTTTTTCGGAAAATCCTTCTCAGTTTGCATCGCGCGATGACCGGAAGTCCAAAATTCGTCATGCATCTGTAGGAGCCGCAGATACTGTCAAAACCATGAAAACCAAAACCCAAACCATGAAAAAAAGTGCAATTATAGTCCGAAAAAAATACAGTAATTATGCCTTTTTTGACACTAGCCTCTTGCTCTTTTTGCTTTTTATTTTGAATGTTTTATGACCATTTCTATGTTTGCTGTGTCTGTTTTTATCTGACGTTGTGATGAAATGTTTGCGTCCTCGTGTCAGTGGGAGCCGCAGCACCAGGACGTCACCTGTGAACAGTTCCAGCAGTGGAAGAGAGACAACGACCCCGAGTACCAGAAGCAGGGCCTGGCCTGGATACCTGAGGGACAACGGGATCAGTCAGTACCTCTTAATGTTCACTACACCACCTGGACTCACATGGGACGAGAAAAGGGGCAGAGAAATATCTAAAACTGAGAAGAGATCTGTATTTCACGTTTAAAAAATCAAGTTTGGAGTGAACATTTTAAACATGACGAGTATGTGTGCTATCTCATGCATTTCAGAGCAGAGGTTTAGCAGCTTTTACACAGAATAAGAGACACAGGGAGGGCATCTGACACACAGGCAGTGTTGGGGAGTAACGGATTACATGTACCGGCGTTATGTAATCAGAGTATAAATTATGAGTAACTGTATTCAGTTACAGTTACTGTTTCAGTGAGTGGTAATTGGATTACAGTTACTTTGTTGAAATAAATGGATTACACAGCGGGATTTTCCTGTTTTCACATTTTGGGCTAAACCAGGACTAAAACCAGGTCGAAAACAGGACTAAACCAGTTCTAATCCAGGTCTAAACCAGGACTAAACCAGGTCTAAACCAGGACTAAAACAGGTCTAAACCAGGACTAAAACCAGGTCTAAACCAGGTCTAAACCAAGTCTAAACCAAGTCTAAACCAGGACTAAAACCAGGTCTAAACCAGGTCTAAACCAGGACTAAAACCAGGTCTAAACCAGGACTAAAACCAGGTCTAAACCAAGTCTAAACCAAGTCTAAACCAAGTCTAAACCAGGACTAAACCAGGTCTAAACCAGGTCTAAACCAGGTCTAAATCAGGTCTAAACCAGGACTAAAACCAGGTCTAAACCAGGTCTAAACCAGGTCTAAACCAGGACTAAAACCAGGACTAAAACCAGGTCTAAACCAGGACTAAAACCAGGTCTAAACCAAGTCTAAACCAAGTCTAAACCAGGACTAAACCAGGGACTAAACCAGGGCCAATTTGAAGACAACAAACAAGAATTTTCAGGATGTGGTTGGTACATTCCTGTAGTTTTAAAAAACATGACAATATCAAGTAATCCAAAGTATTCAGATTACGTTACTCACTTTTAAGTAATTTAATGGATTCCATTACAAACTACATTTTGGGGTATGTAATCTGTAATCTGTAGGGGATTACATTTTAAAAGTAAACTTCCCAACACTGCACACAGGGAAGGCATTTACTAATAGTTGTATCTAATTTGGCATATTTTATAAAACAATAAAAGAAAAATACATTATTAAAATCTCCGAACGTTACTTTTTCACTCTTCAGTTTCTTGATGTTTTTTTCATATTTCCTACTTTATTTATTTTATTGGGTAATTTTGATACTTTTTTTTTGTTTGTTTGTTTTGTTTATAAAATGCTCAAAATTTGGATTCTGTTTTTCAGCGTGTCCAAACTGCCGGTTCCAGTACGCTCTGACCAAAGGCGGCTGCATACACTTCACCTGCTCCCAGTGTCGCTACGAGTTCTGCAGCGGCTGCAACAACCCCTTCCACAAGGTCTGCTCCTGTCTGCTCCTGTCTGCTCCTGTCTGCTCCTGTCTGCTCCTGTCTGCTCCTGTCTGCTCCTGTCTGCTCTCTGTCTGCTCCTGTCTGCTCCTGTCTGCTCCTTTCTGCTCCTTTCTGCTCCTGTCTGCTCCTGTCTGCCCCTGTCTGCTCCTGTCTGCTCCTGTCTGTCTCCCTGTCTGCTCCTGTCTGCCTCCTGTCTGCTCCTGTCTGCTCCTGTCTGCTCCTGTCTGCTCCTTTGTTTCTGTTTCAGTTTTTAATGTTTATCAGAAAATAATTACCCAGGATTCTGTTTTGAGTGTCATCTTCGGAATATCGAGACATTCGAGACAACATCTTAGATTTTGGGACTGTCCCAAAATTTTTTTGGAACGTCTGGTGACCCTAGTGTGCTCCTCTCTGCTCCTCTCTGCTCCTGTCTGCTCCTGTCTGCTTCTGTCTGCTCCTGTCTGCTTCTGTCTGCTTCTGTCTGCTCTCTGTCTGCTCTCTGGTTCTGCTCTGTTCTGTTCTGTTCTGCTTCTGCTCCTCTGTCTGCTCCTCTGGTTCTGTTCCTGTCTGCTCCTCTGGTTCTGCTCCTCTGGTTCTGCTCCTCTGGTTCTGCTCCTCTGGTTCTGCTCCTCTGGTTCTGCTCCTGTCTGCTCCTCTGTTCTGCTCCTCTGGTTCTGTTCTCTCCTCTGTCTGCTCCTCTGTTCTGTTCTGCTTCTGCTCCTCTGTTCTGTTCTCTCCTCTGCTCCTCTGTTCTGCTCCTCTGGTTCTGCTCCTCTGGTTCTGCTCCTCTGGTTCTGCTCCTCTGTCTGTCTCCTCTGTTCTGCTCCTCTGGTTCTGCTCCTGTCTGCTCCTCTGGTTCTGTTCTCCTGGTTCTGCTCCGTCTCCTCTGGTACTGTTCCCGTCTCCTCTCCTTATCTCTTATGATGATTATTTATGTTTTGTGATTTTAATGTATTTCTTATTCTGTAAAACACTTTGAAGGACTTTATATACGAACTGTGCTGGACAAATAAACTCGCCTTGCCCTTCTCTCGCTTCTGCTCCTGTCTGCTCCTGTCTCCTCTCCTTATCTCTGCTCCTGTCTGCTCCTGTCTCCTCTCCTTATCTCTGCTCTTACATAAACCGCCACATACCTCCCGTACGTACATGTGCTGAAGTTCCCGTGTGTGTGTTCTTTTTTTTTCGCAGACGGCCTGTAGAACCGCAGTGTGTAACTTGAACGGGCTCCACGCTCACCACCCGCGGGACTGTCTCTTCTACCTCCGAGACTGGGACCCGCCGCGACTCCAGGAACTGCTCAAGGTCCACACACGGGTTTAAAGCGCCCAGTTTGTGTTGCAATCTCGTTTCCTCATCACAAATGGACCCGAAGTTGTGTTTATTTCAATGAACAGGGCCCAGGAGAGATCGCTAGATTGCGCAAATATGCACGGATGACTGTAAACCCTCCTCTGGCACGTTTTTGATGAGGGAACAACTTTATAACATGGCGGAAAGCTAAAAATTTATGAATTCTACAACAGTAAAACCTCATATTTGCCACGTTTACATGAGAGCTTCAATTCCAGATAAAAATAATTTAATTCCGAATAAAAGTTAGCTTCAAAAAGACCATGTAAACACTCCTAAGGAAAATGATTATTCAGAATTAAACAGAATTCCAAAGTAAGTGGGTGGTTTATTCCAATTTTAAAGCCGATGTACCATATTTTTTGGACTATTAGTCGAACCAGCCAAAAAATGCGTAATGAAGAAGACAAAAAACATATATAAGTCGCACACGGACTGATCAAACGGCAAGTGAAGAAGAAGAACTACAACGTGAAAAGCAAAGGAACGGAGAAGTTGGAAACGTAAGTAAAAGTAATTTATTGTTTTATCATTATTCGTTTCACGTTGTAGTTCTTCTTCACTTGCCGCTTGATCGGTCCATTGGAAAATAGAGTCCCGCGGTCATTTCCGTTGTGGCTTTTTTTTGGTTTATTGTGGCTTTTTGTTGTGTTGTCGCATTTGTATTTGTTGCGGCGTTTGCGTTTGTTGTGACCCCTCTCGGTTTGTGTCCGTGGAGTAACGACAAACCGACACGACAGAGAAGCCAGGAGCAGCCGAAGTGTGTGTTTTCTTCCAGTCGTCGTAAATCCGTTGGTGTCTCTGTCCAAATCAGAACCTTCCCCCACCCCCAGACGCTCAGACACATTAAATAAAGATGATAAAACTCGACGGATAACATTTAATTCTGAACTATTTCATTCAGGACAATTAATTCGGAATTAAAAACATCATGTAAACGTGGCCATTGTGACATTTACATTAATCACAGTAAATACAGAAAAGGTTCCACCCCGTCTGAGCGCCCAGGACCTGAGCCCAGGACCTGAGCCCAGCCTTTTGTCAACATCTCTTCTGTTTTATTCCCTCAGAGGAGCAATGTGGCGTTCAACACTGAGCCGTCTGCCGAAACTCCAGCCGGTAAATCTGCTTCTGTGTTGTGAAAATGTTCGACGCTTTTATACTTCACCGTGTATTTAACAAACCACAAACCACAAACCACAGTCCAGAACCTGTGTGTTTCTGTCCGACATAACTCACAAACAGCAGAGCGTGTGGGTTTGGGGTTTGTAACTTTCTGGTTGAGGGTCTGTCACCTGCTCGTTTCTATGCAGACTGTATGTCATGGCTTTGTCTGGAATGTTCCGCAGTGTGACATTAAACAGCTCCACCGTACGTTTATTCAATTACAGGTGGTTTTATTGCTCAAGCATCCCTAGAAAGGTTTAATGCCACACTGCGAAACATTCCAGACGAAGAAATAGTGTCTCCGTGGAGATAAGCGTTTGACCCTCAGCTAGAAAAGTTACACACATCATCTCTGACGTCTCTGTCTCTGTGATGTCTCTCTGTCTCTGTGATGTCTCTGATGTCTCTGTGATGTCTCTGTCTCTGTGATGTCTCTGTGATGTCTCTGTCTCTGTGATGTCTCTGTGTCTCTGATGTCTCTGTCTCTGTGATGTCTCTGTGATGTCTCTGTGATGTCTCTGTGATGTCTCTGTGATGTCTCTGTGATGTCTCTGTCTCTGTGATGTCTCTGTGAATGTCTCTGTGATGTCTCTGTGATGTCTCTGTCTCTGTGATGTCTCTGTCTCTGTGATGTCTCTGTCTCTGTGATGTCTCTGTCTCTGTGATGTCTCTGTGATGTCTCTGTCTCTCTGATGTCTCTGATGTCTCTGTCTCTGTGATGTCTCTGTGATGTCTCTGTGATGTCTCTGTGATGTCTCTGTGGTGTCTCTGTGATGTCTCTGTGATGTCTCTGATGTCTCTGTGATGTCTCTGTCTCTGTGATGTCTCTGTGATGTCTCTGATGTCTCTGTCTCTCTGACGTCTGTGTCTCTGTGGTGTCTCTGTCTCTCTGACGTCTCTGTGATGTCTCTGTGATGTCTCTGATGTCTCTGTCTCTCTGACGTCTGTGTCTCTGTGACGTCTCTGTCTCTCTGACGTCTCTGTGATGTCTCTGTGACGTCTCTGTCTCTGTGATGTCTCTGTGATGTCTCTGTGACGTCTCTGTCTCTGTGATGTCTCTGTGACGTCTGTCTGTGATGTCTCTGTGATGTCTCTCTGTGATGTCTCTGTGATGTCTCTGATGTCTCTGTGATGTCTCTGATGTCTCTGATGTCTCTGTCTCTGTGATGTCTCTGTGACGTCTCTGTCTCTGTGATGTCTCTGATGTCTCTGTGACGTCTCTGTCTCTGTGATGTCTCTGTCTCTCTGACGTCTCTGTGATGTCTCTGTGATGTCTCTGTCTCTGTGATGTCTCTGTGATGTCTCTGTCTCTGACTGTCTCTGTGATGTCTCTGTGATGTCTCTGTGATGTCTCTGTGATGTCTCTGTGATGTCTCTGTCTCTGATGTCTCTGTGATGTCTCTGTCTCTGTGATGTCTCTGTCTCTGTGATGTCTCTGTGATGTCTCTGATGTCTCTGTGAGTGTCTCTGTGATGTCTCTGTGTGTCTCTGTGATGTCTCTGTGATGTCTCTGTCTGTCTCTGTGATGTCTCTGTGATGTCTCTGTCTCTGTGATGTCTCTGTGATGTCTCTGTCTCTGTGATGTCTGTGATGTCTCTGTCTCTGTGATGTCTCTGATGTCTCTGTGATGTCTCTGTGACGTCTCTGTCTCTGTGACGTCTCTGTCTCTGTGATGTCTCTGATGTCTCTGATGTCTCTGACGTCTCTGTCTCTGTGGTGTCTCAGCTCTGTGTGGAGTGATGGAGCAGAAGGACAGTGGACAGCAGCAGGACCTGCCCTGTGGAGGAGAGACCAGACCGGGCCAGGCCGGCCTCTGCGAGTGAGTCTGTAGACCTGAGTTAGACCTGAGTTAGACCTGAGTTTAGACCTGAGCTAGACCTGAGTTTAGACCTGATTTAGACCTGATTTAGTCTTGGGTTACACTGGGTTTTTCCTTTTTCAGTTTTGGTTTTAAATTGGCTTTACATTGGGTTTAGACCTGGGTTTAGTCCAGGTTTAGGTCTGGTTTAGACCTGTCCATAGTCCTGGTTTAGACCTGGTTTAGTCTTGGTTATACTGGGTTTATTCCTGTTTGAGATTGGGTTTACATGTGGTTTATTGTACCTAGGTTTAGAACGGGTTTGGACTGGGTTTAGACTGGTCCATAGTCCTGGTTTTAGACCTGGTTTAGTCTTGGGTTCAGACCTGATTTAGACTTGTCTTAGACGTGGTTTAGGTCTGACCATAGTCCTGGATTAGACCCAGTTTAGTCTCGGGTTATACTGGGTTTATTCCTGTTTCAGATTGGGTTTTAGACCTGATTTAGACGTGATTTTGACCTGGGTGTAGAACGGGTTTGGTTGGGTTTAGACCTGGTTTCAGATTGGGTTTAGACTGGGTTTAGTCCTGTCCATAGTCCTGGTTTAGTCCGTGTTTAGACCACAGTAAAGACGCCGTTTAAACCCTGATTGAACCTCAGAGCTCCACAGTCTGTTTGAACTGGACTCTGGTCTGAACTGGACTCTGGTCTGAACTGGACTCTGGTCTGAACTGGACTCTGGTCTGAACTGGAGTCTGGTCCTGGTCTTAAACGGCGGTGTGACTCGTGCTGCCCCCTGTGTGTCGTAGGAAGCATTACCGCGAGTACCTGGTGAGCCTGATAAACGTTCACTCTCTGGACCCGGCGGTTCTGTACCAGCCTCAGGAGCTGGTCTTGGCCTGTCAGAGGTACCAGGTCCCAACGCAGAAGATGGACAACGAGAACGAAAACAACTACAACGCCAGGCTGCTCAAGGTATCTGATCGAGACCTGATGTAGACCGGGGTTTTTGACCTGCTTTAGATCTCGTTTAGTCCTGGTTTAGTCCTGGTTTGGTCACAGTGCAGAGGATGGACAACGCTCAAGGTGTCTGAGCTAGACTGGGTTTAGACCGAGTTTAGACCTGGTTTAGTGCTGGTTCATTCTTGGTTCAGTCCTGGTTCAGTTCTGCTTTAGTCCTGGTTCACTTCCAGCTCAGTCCCGGTTTAGTCCTGCTTTAGTTCTAGTCTAATCCAGGTTTAGTCTTGGTTTCAGTCCTGGTTTAGTCCTGGTTTTAGTCTTGCTTTAGTTCATGTTTAATCCTGGTTAAGTCCCAGTTCAGTCCTGGTTTAGTCCTGGTGACAGTCCTGGTTTTAGTCTTGCTTTAGTTCTAGTTTAATCCTGGTTTAGTCTTGGTTTCAGTCTTGCTTTAGTCCCAGTTCAGTCCTGGTTTAGTCTTGGCTCAGCCCCGGCTCAGTCTTGGCTCAGTCCTGGTTTAGTCCTGGTTCAGTCCCGGTTCATACTTTTCTCTTTTTGCAGAAACTGATGGAGGTTCCTCTTGGAGACAAAGTTCCCAGGAACCAGTGACGTCCACAGACCCACAGACCTACAGACCTACAGACCTGCTGACCCATGGACCCTCTGACCCTCTGACCCTCTGACCCACAGAAGAGTCTCTTTATGAAATATGAAGTAAAAACATGTTTTTAAGTTTGGTTCTTTTGCAATTCAGAGGAACAGACAGATGCAAAATACAGTATTTTCTCACTATATTTTAGTACTTAATCTTGGTTTCAGTCCTGGTTTAGTCTTGGTTTAGTCCTGGTTTAGTCTTGGTTTTAGTCCTGCTTTAGTCCTGGTTTCGACCACAATGGTGGAAAAGGTTTTAAAATAATTGTTTATTAGATCCATGTTTGTGAAATGTTCATAAAGTTGAACCTTCAAATAAAATTGATTTGCACAAATGTCGCTTTTGTATTGAATCAGAATGATTTTTGAGAATAAAAGTCTCAAATTGAACCTGGTCAGTGTTTCCTCTCATTCTGTCTTTAGTTTATTGAGACGTTGGTTTCTGTGGTGACACTAAGGAAAGAGTCTCTGAGTTAAAGGAGAGTCATTGATTTTACAGATCAGCAGCGCTCACGTGGACTTTGTGAGTTCGACTCTGACTAGAATTATAGTTTAGGGGCAAAACTCAAGAAATGTTCAGAAAATATTACCAATACAATATAGTCATTTACTTGTGTTAAGTAAACAATTGGTCTGAAGGTTTGTAAATTCTTGTCCATTTCAGTGACCCATATCTGGAAATAACATCATTGTATATTTATTGACCAAGTTAAACAGAAGCATTTAATGATCAAATATGCAAATGAGTGTCGGACGTTCTAAACTGGAGTCTAGAAATCTGAGATTAGACACAACTTTAAGGTTTATCATTTTCATTCATTCAGTTGTTTGAGACGGGTACAACAAAAATTTAAAAACAATACCAAAACCAGGGAAATGTACATGAACATTTTTGGGACCTTTTGGGACCTTTTCAATTTTATTTATTTGTATTTTTTATTTTATTTTGATAAAGTCTCCATATGGTCCCGTTGGGTCCAATGAAGGTTCGAGTTTCTCAGGATGTCGGTTCTGAAGAATCAAACGCGATGAAACAGACGAAGGCCACGTGATCGAAACAATACTTCCACATTTCAGTGTCTGCGCTGGTCACGATTAAGGTCAATCAATCAATAAAACTACTGGCTGCAAAAATGCTAATATTTTAATTTGGAAAAATATGAAAGCTTCGTTTTCAATCAGATCAGCTACAGGAAATTTGATAAAAACTTGTGAACTCTGGCACAACTTTAAGAAGGAGAACTGGGTGTATTGTTCCCCTTTTGTTCAACTCCGGGTCTCAGTTCAGTTTATCTGAGTTACAGTGTAGGTTTGTTGTAAACGATCTTTAATCCTTCTAAGTTATTTTGGAAGGAAATGTCTCTAATCTATACTGAGCTTTGTGAGCAGCTGCGTTCAAAGTGATGAAATTAGCATCAACAAGTCTCGGTCTCGCCTCAGTCTCGGCCTTTAAAATCTCTGTCCTGTCTCAGTCTCTGCCCTTTAAAAGTTTCGATCTTGTCTCGGTTTCGTCTCGGCCTCAATCTTTAAAAGTCTCGGTTTTGTTTCGGGCTCAACCCTGAGAGGTCTTGGTCCTGTCTCAGTCTCGACCTTTGAAAGTCTCCGTCTTGCAAATATTTAAATTTGGAAAAATATGAAAGCTTCGTTTTCAATCAGATCGGCTACAGGAAATTTGATAAAAACTCGTGAAGAGTCTGGCACAACTTTAGGAAGGAGAACTGGGTACATTGTCTCCCTTTTGTTCAACTCCGGGTCTCAGTTCAGTTTATCTGTGTTACGAAGTAGGTTTGTTGTAAACGATCTTTAATCCTTGTAAGTTATTTTGTACAGGGAATGTCTCTTATCCACGCTGAGGACGAGAGGTCAGTGAGCAGCTGCATTTAAAGTGATGAAATCAACATCTGCTAAAGAACAGTGGCCCCTTTGCTGTGGATCTTATCACTTGGTAACTTATCGACCAGCTTCAAGGAGAAGTGCTGCAAGTGTTACGCTACAGTCAGAGGCAACTACTGGACCCTACATTTCTGCAAATTTCTCTGATCTGGCCAAGATTTTAAAACTTATATCAGGTGATTCATCTTATTTTCAGATTTATTATCGACTCACTGGTTCTGAACTGTTGTACAATCTTAAAAAGTGTCACTGATGACTCAACTCATCAGAAAATCTTAAATAAATAATAATAATAAATGTTTAAAAGAAGCTACAATCCTTTTACCAGGACTTATATCTAAAATTTAGCATCTTTGAATTTATTATCAGGACATTCATACTCATCATAAACTTGTTCTAAGTTTGTTTATCGAGAATTTAGCAGAATTTAAAGAATTTTATTTAGAATTTGGCATCTGAGAATTTATTATCAGGCCATGAACACTGATCATAAACTGGTAGTGTTGTAGTCAAGACTGCACTAAGACCAAGATCAGGACAAGCCCAAGACAGGACTAAGACCACGGCCCATCAAGACCAAATCAAGACCATTTCTGTCATTTTCAACATTTATTTGTATTTTACAGTAATTTTCCATCCATCCATCCATTTTCTTCCTCTTATCCGGGGCCGGGTCGCGGGGGCAGCAGCCTAAGCAGGGACTCCCAGACTTCCTTCACCCCAGACACGTCCTCCAGCTCCTCCGGGGGGACTCCGAGGTGTTCCCAGGCCAGTCCAGAGACATAGTCCCTCCAGTGTGTCCTGGGTCTTTCCCAGGGCCTCCTTCCGGCGGGACATGCCCAGAACACCTCCTGAGGGAGACGCCCAGGAGGCATCCGGAACAGATGCCCGAGCCTCAACTGGCTCCTCTCGACGTGGAGGAGCAGCGGCTCTACTCCGAGCTCCTCCCGTGTGACTGAGCTCCTCACCCTATCTCTAAGGGAGACGCCCAGCCACCCTGCGGAGGAAACTCATTTCGAGCGCTTGTATCCGCGATCTCGTCCTTTCGGTCACTACCCAGAGCTCATGACCAGAGGTGAGAGTAGGAACGAAGACTGACCGGTAAATCTAGAGCTTCGCCTTTCGACTCAGCTCCTCTTCACCACAACGGTCCGATACAGCGACCGCATCACTGCCGAAGCTGCACCGATCCGCCTGTCAATCTCACGTTCCGTCCTTCCCTCACTCGAGAACAAGACCCCGAGATACTTGAACTCCTCCACTTGAGGCAAAGACTCCCCACCCACCCGGAGAGGGCAAGACACCTTTTTCCGGTCGAGAACCATGGCCTCCTTGAACCGTCACCTTATCGTGGTGGAGGGGTTTGAGTGCCCGAATGATCCCGGGAGTAATTTTGTCACTTATATATATATAATTCTTTTTATAAATCTATATCATTTTATCATTCGTCAAGTGTTAGACCTCGAGACCGAGACAAGACCGAGTTCAAGCACCTTCAAGACCGAGACAAGACCGTGTTTGAGTTCAAGCACCTTGAAGACCGAGACAAGACCGAGTTCGAGTTCAAGCACCTTCAAGACCGAGACAAGACCGAGTTCAAGCACCTTCAAGACCGAGACAAGATCGAGTTCAAGTTCAAGCACCTTCAAGACAGAGACAAGACTGAGACAAGACCGAGTTCAAGCACCTTCAAGACCGAGACAAGACCGTGTTCGAGTTCAAGCACCTTGAAGACAGAGACAAGACCGAGTTCAAGCACCTTCAAGACCGAGACAAGACCGAGACAAGACCGAGTTCAAGCACCTTCAAGACCGAGACAAGACCGTGTTTGAGTTCAAGCACCTTGAAGACCGAGACAAGACCGAGTTCGAGTTCAAGCACCTTCAAGACCGAGACAAGACCGAGTTCAAGCACCTTCAAGACCGAGACAAGATCGAGTTCAAGTTCAAGCACCTTCAAGACAGAGACAAGACTGAGACAAGACCGAGTTCAAGCACCTTCAAGACCGAGACAAGACCGAGTTCGAGTTCAAGCACCTTGAAGACAGAGACAAGACCGAGTTCAAGCACCTTCAAGACCGAGACAAGACCGAGTTCGAGTTCAAGCACCTTGAAGACAGAGACAAGACCGAGTTCAAGCACCTTCAAGACCGAGACAAGACCGAGTTCAAGCACCTTCAAGACCGAGACAAGACCGAGTTCGAGTTCAAGCACCTTGAAGACAAAGACAAGACCGAGTTCAAGCACCTTCAAGACCGAGACAAGACCGAGTTCAAGCACCTTGAAGACCAAGACAAGACCGAGTTCAAGCACCTTCAAGACTGAGACAAGACCAAGTCCAAACGCAGCCGAGTCTGCGACAAGACCAAGACTGTAAAAAAAATAAAAAGGCCGGTCTCGAGTATCACAAGACCTTTGAGGATCAAGACCGAGACTTTTAAAGGCCGAGACCGAGTCGAGTTCACCTGTTGTAGTTTTAACTTTTTAAGTCGCCTCTTTCTGGTCCGATTGTGTTAAAATAAAACTCAGATTAAAGTCTGACAAAGCCACAGAGTTTACGCCACTGCCCCGGAAATGTGACCATCAGCTGCCAAATCTAAATGAGTCATGTGGAATGTGGCGAAATCTGATGTGGTTTTGTTTTGTAAAGTGGAGCTGAGCTGAGCACATCTGCGCCGCATCAACACACTTACAGTTTGTTGTTGGTCAAAAACGTCTTGTGAAACACACGTTCTTTTTTGGAAGAACCAGATTTTTGTCACTTAAAGGAACTATTTTTGATTTTAAATTTCATAAACGTGGCACTGCAAAAAAACAACAACAAAACTTGGCCCAAATCTAAGATATAAACGCGTAAATCTATCATAAAATTATCTGTCCGTGCAGCAAGATCATCTTAAAATAAACGACTTCTAGATGAGAATGAAGCGTCTCTGAAGTGTTCATGGGCTGGAAATAAGTTTATGGAGGCTAAGTTTGAGATACAGGTTCCCACTCTTTTCCACTGACAAAATTTAAAAACTTTTCCATGACTTTTTTAAAAAATTTTCATTATTTATTGTCGTCTGTTTTAAACAAAAGACGCAGACGTTCAGAAAAAATCAGAACAGACTCATGAGAACTTAACAGAACGCTGCTGGAGTTGTGTGAAAGAGATACAAAAATTCCATGATTTTTCCAAAACTTTCAATGAATTAACAAAATTCTATGACTTTTCCAGGCCTGGAAAATGACATTTTCAATTTCCATGACCTTTCCAGGATTTCCATGACCGTGGGACTTAAAACCAGTTTATAGTGTTGTAGCACTCGAGACCGGTCTTGGTCTTCTGACTGTCTTGAGACTTTTTTTTTTTTTTGCAGTCTTGGTCTCATCTCGGACTTGATCTCATTTGGACTCAGTCTTGTCCTGGTCTTGTCTCAGTCTTATCTCGGTCTTGAAGGTGCTTGGATTCGGTCTTGTCTCAGTCTTGTCTCAGTCTTGAAGACGTTTGGACTT